GTAAGCACCTATTCAGATCAGCCATTAAACAGGGTTCAACACAAAACTATCTAATTCCTCTTGAAAGAATAATATAAGTAAAGGGAGCTAATACAACTGCTGGACCCTTAAACCTGTAATCCTATGTTTCTGTGTCTTTTTTTATCTTTTATCATAACTTAAGTGTCTGTTTTTTGTTTCTTTGTATCCCTTTATCTCTGTATCACTATATCTCTTTATCCCTGTATCCATGTATCCCAGTATCTCTGTATCCCTGTACCCCTGTGTATGGCTGCAATGGCTGTATGTCTGTATCCCTGTGTATCCAATGTATCCATGTATCCTAGTGTCCCTGTTTCCCTGTATCCCTTTGTATCCCTTTGTATCCCTGTATCCCTGTATCCCTGTATTCCTGTATCCCTGTATCCTTGTATCCCTGTATCTCTGTATCCCTGTGTATCCCTGTATCCCTGTTTAACCCTGTATCCCTGTATCTCATAATACCTGCATCTCTGCATCCCCGTATCTCTGTATCCCTGTATCCTTGTATCCCTGTCTAAATATTAACTAAGAATACAAGCCCCCATCTGTTAGCTTGTCAACAAATTTGAAAAGTTGAAACCCTGAAAAATTTATAAAAACAAGAACAACAGTTTGTCAGTTTCTATGATTACAAGTGTAGAATAAAAAATGACAGAGATGCATAGAGAGAGATAAATCTATTGGTAAAATTTGAATTTTTAAATAAATAAACAACTAAAACGGCAAATTTGATAGCTCAATCTAGATTTTCTTTTTATAGTTTTCCCAAGAAAAATATCAATCAAGAAAATAATTTTAATAGATTTAATAACATCAATAATTTTAAAAGTTGGTGTTGATATCGGAAAACCATAAAAAGCATTGTTTTGCTCTTTCACAACTTGTCTACGTAAAAATGTTTACGTAAAAATGTAAACAACAACATTTTTGTTTAGATTTCTAATTTTGAATTCTAAATACTTTTTCAAAATGACATATTTCAAGACAATTCTCGTTTTTTTAAATAAAAAAAAACATTAAGCATTAGGATTTTTTTAATGGATAAGATACATAGAATTATTTTAAAGTTAGTGACAACGAACCAAATAATGATGTCTTTACAAAATAGGAGAATTAAATGACGACTTCGAGATCGTTATTTGGTTAAGAATTAGCATTGCAATACATCATGTTAAAAGTCATAATAAAGTTACGTCCGCTATCCGTATATTTTATGTTTTTATTCTGCAAGATGAACAGTATTTGTTTACAGGAATTTATCATTTTACTACATTTTAACCCAAAAGTAAAAAGTTTGGAGACATCAAGAGAATTTATAAAACTAGGCTTTAATGTCTTAAAAGTTTTGGGTTAAACTGTAGTTTTATAAAACAGTCTACAATCAAAATATAAAAAATTTAATTATAACCTCTTGTTGACTAGACATTCTTCGAATAGCAGCTTTCCATAGTAGGATTCACCTCTCAAAGCAACGAATCTTTTACCATGGAGTACCTAGAAATTGTCATTCAAATCCTGTGTTTTTTTGCAACACTCTGCATCTTGTTAAATTCTTTAAAAGTTGTTTATTACCGAAATATAGGTAAAAACCTCTTGTTTTATATTGATACAAATTGTAAAACGTGAAAATGTGGTTTATGTTTTCTGGTGGAAGGGACTGAGTTGCAATCGCCACCCCCCCCCCC